TAGCTGATTTTTACTTGGGAATATGCATCCTGATGATTGTGGAAGTGTTTTCCCTGCAAAAAGTTGTTGAGATGCTTGAAGAAGTGGTAGTTGGTTGGTGAGAGGTCAGGTGAATATGGTGGAAGAGGCAAAACTTTGTAGCCCCATTGGTTGAACTTTTGAAGTGTTGGTTGTACAACTTGTGGTTGGGTTGTCATGGAGAAGAATTGGGCCCTTTCTTTTGACCAATGCTGCCTACAGGTGTTGCAGTTTTCGGTGCATCTCATCCATTTGCTGAGCATACTTCTCAGATGTAATGGTTTCACCAGGATTCAGAAAGCTCTAGTGGATAAGACTGGCAGCAGACCACCAAATAGGGAACATGACCTTTTTTGGTGCAAGTTTGCCTTTGGGAAGTGCTTTGGAGCTTTTTCTCTGTCCAACCACTGAGCTGGTCATAGCCAATTGTTGTCATATAAAATCCACTTTTTGTCACCTGTCACAATCTGATCAAGAAATGGTTCGTCATTGTTGCATACAAGAGGAGAAGAGGACACTTCAAAATGACGATGTTTTTGATTTTCGATCAGCTCGTGAGGCACCCACTTATTGAGCTTTTTGAAGTTTGCTGTTTGCTTCAAATGCCGAACAACCATGGAATGGTCGACCTTGAGTTCTTTGGCAACTTCTTACTCGGCAACTTCTCCTGTAGTTGTAAGAGGATAAACATTGATGATTGCTCTCAATCGGTCGTTGTCAACTTCCATGGCTGGCCACTGCACTCCTCATCTTCAAGGCTCTTGTCTCCTTTGCAAAACTTCTTATACCACCACTATACTGGTACATTTGTTAGCAGTTCCTGGGCCAAATGCATTGTTGATGTTGCGAGTTGTCTCCACAGCTTTCCAACCCGTTTTGAACTAGAATAAGAAAATCACCGGAATTTGTTTTTTGTCTAACATCATTTCCATAGTCTAAAATAAATATATTAATAAACAAGTAATAAGTCATTAGCAAATAAATCAAGAAATGTGCATTAAGATGATGTATAACATAACCACATTTAAGAATGTATTCCAATATCAAATGGCAAATTTCAACAATGCTAAAACTGCAATTACTTTTGCACCAACCTAATAATGATGATTATTATGGGTTAAATAGTCCCCCTCCCCATTAATGTGTCAAAGTTCTAACTCCAAAGATTTTAGGATGTGATCTTACTTGGAAATGGGGTCATTGTAGATGTAATTAGTTATGGGTCCCTAATACAGTATGACTGGTGTCCTTATAAAAAGGGGAAATTTGGACACATACCATTGTAGGGAGAATGTCACGTGAACTTGAAGATGTACATCTATAAGACAGGGAGAAAGATCTGAAATAGAGCTTTCCTTCCCAGCCCCCACAAGGAGTCAACCCTTCCAACACCTTTTCAGACTTCTAGCCTCTAGAGCTTTGAGACAATAAATTTCTGTTTTTTTACGCCACCCATTTTGAATACTTTGTTATGACAGCCCTAGCAAACCAATGTGATAGTTTTATAAGATAAAGTATTTTTTATAGAGTATAGCAGAAAAGGTTATAGGATCTGTTCAAACAAAAGATGAACATAATTTATGTTAGTAAATCTCTAGAGTAAATGCAAAATAGTAGATATCCCAGTAGACCAAGTTTGTATATTACACCACGAGCACAAGTAAACCATTCATGAAATTACCCTTTTAGCACTACCAGGAGAGCAAGGATACCACAGACTTCAAATTATCTGTAAGTAGAGAAAGGAATAGCAAATTTCAAACAGAGTTCCTATTGTTGCTGCACACATGGAGTGCGGGGAAGGGGAATCTTAGAATCTCTTTGGAAAGGAGGAGAGGGGAGCAGGAAACTAGATGAAGCACAGTGACAATCTCCGTCAGAAAGAGAAAGGCTAAATTAAAGTGTTAAAAGTCTAAACAGAGATCAGGTCTGGAAATTAGTAATTCACAGCACTGAATACAGGAAAGGAATCTGAATGTGAGCAGGACTAGAGGGTACAGCCTTGGCAAAACTTTGCTTCTGGAGGAGGGAGATAAATAGAGCAGGGAATATGAATGCCCCTCAGGCATTGAGGGGAAATAAGGAAGTAATGGTGGAAAAATCAACTGCAGAAATGAAACAGAATTAGAAGACATATAAGTTACTCCTCATACATAACAACTCAATATCATCCATGAAATGAACTGAACTTCACTATAGTGACAGAAGAGAATGCTGTCGAACTAGGATTTCTGTACATGAAGTGCTTAGAAATAGAAAAAAATCACATATAGTAAATTACAAGGTAACCAAAGGAGAATGTATTGAAATGAAAATTTAATGCCATGGAAGAACTTTTGAAGCATTGGTTGTATGAAAGACAAGAAGAATGAAGATGAGGTAAAGAAAGACATTAAAAGGGGCAGAGAGAAAGTAGTTGAAATGGAGGACAAAAAACATCCAACATGCATGTAATTAGAATCTCTGAAGAAGAAAAAACATTTGAACCAAACAGATGTTTAAAGCTATAATCCAAGAAAAGCTTCCAAAAATAAGAGAAAATTTAAAAATATACCAAAAGGGCCTGTGAAAATTGTATGCTTTGGGAAACTTGAGTCAGACAAATCAATCCTAAGATATATTATAGCAAAGTTATTAGAATTTAAAGATAAAAAAGCTTCAGGACCTCCAGGGAGAAGAGAAAGTTACTTAATGGCTGGGAAAATTACTCTGACAGCAGACTTCTCAAAAGTAAAAACAAGGCAGCATTTTTAAGAAACTCAAGGATAGAAAGTATGATGTAAGGATTTTATATGTAGTTCTTCAAGTATCCAGACTATAGAAAAATAGTTTGAGACATGCAAAAAAATCTCAGGGAATACTGTGCCCATGAGACCTTCTTGAGGCATCTGCTAGAGCAGTGGTTCTCAAAGTGTGGATCTGAGGCCAGCAACATCAGTGTCACCTGGGAATTGTTAGAAATGCATATTCTTAGGCCCAGCCCAGACTTACTGATTCAGAAACTTTAGTGTGGAGTATGTTAGTTTTTGTTTTAGCAAGCCATACAGGTCATTCTGATGCACATCCTGTAAGAGGATGAACTTCTCCCAGCCAAGGGATGATTAAGGAAACTTTGGCCAAGAACTAATAGTAAATATTGATATTCATTGTAGATATTCATTGTAGATATCTACTTATATTATAGATATAAGTCTAAGAAATGGGTAAAGACATAATTGGAAGAACAGTATGTAAAGCACAAAAGTAGAAAGAATACAACTAAGAGAATATAACCAAAAATGAGAGAATAAGGGACAAAGATAGGAGAAATAAAATAAGATGATTAATTATTGAATAGGTAATAGGTGGAAGTCAGAGAATACCATTTAAGACTGTCAAACAAGAGAGTAAAAAATTAAGTAAGATGAAATATCATCTCACCCCAGTTAAAATGGCTTTCGTCAAAACGGCAGTAGCAGATACTGGTGAGGTTGTAGAGACATGGGAACCTTCTTACACTGTTGGTGGGAATGTAAATTAGTACAGCCACTATAGGGAGCAGTATGGAAATTCCTTAAAAAACTAAAAATAGAACTACCATATGATCTAGCAGCCCCACTTCTGTGTTTATATCCAAAAGAAAGTCAGTATATTGAAAAGATATCTGCACTCCCATGTTTATTTTAGCAGTGTTCATAATAGCGAAGATATGGAGTCAACCTAAGTGTCCATCAGTGCATGAATGGGTAAAGAAAATGTGATACACATACATAATGGAATATTATTCAGCCATAAAAAGAATGAAATGTTGTCATTTGCAGCAGTATGGGTGGAACTGGAGGACATTATGTTAAGTGAAATAAGCCAAGCCCAGAATGACAATGACATGTTACTCATATGTGGGAGCTAAAAAAATGATCTCATGAGCAGTAGAATGATTACCAGAGGATAGGAGAGGTAGTGGGAAAGGGGAGATGCAAAGGGGTTGGTTATTGGGCACAAAATTATAGCAGGATAGAAGAAATAAGATCTGGCATTTGTTAGCATAATAGGACAACTATACTTAACAATAATTTATTGTATATTTCAAAATAACTAGAAGAGTAGAATTGGAATGTTCTTAACACAAAGAAATGGTAAATGCTGGTGGTGATGGATACCCCAATTACCTTTATTTGATCATGACATACTGTATGTTTGTATCAAAATTTCACATGTACCTTATAAATATATACAACTATTATGTAGCCATATAAATTAAAAATTAAACAAAACAAAAAAGAAAGAAGAAAACAAGAGGATTAAGGGCATCATGGAACATGTAATGGCAAAGAAACTAGAAGAACAACTCAATTAAATGCAATATGTGATCCTGGACTGAAAAAAGTTGCCAACAGGACTTATTGGTATAATTGATGAAAATGGAATATGGAATATAGGTTAAGTAAATTATTGCATCAGTGTTAACCTGAATTCTGTAGGAGTAATATGAATATTCAAGAGAATATTCTTGGTGTTAGGAAATATATGCTGATGATTGGGTAAAGTGTGAAGGGCAAATTTTGATATTTAAATTTTAGAGATGGGAACAGCTTTATAATTAAAGTATTTAAAAACATGATTACTATTTATGCAGTTTGATTTGAAGCTAACCAGAGATGAAAATATGTTTGATTATTTCTTCACATTTCTCATCCTGTAATTCAGTGATCACTTACTGTAAACCTCATGTGGATTTGGAAAAAGCAGAAAAAATTTTGCATTAGGTACTTAACGTTTTCACTTTGTACTGCTTAATCCAAACAGAATATCCAGCAAATAAATTTAGGTGTTTCTTTTTGAATATACTAAAACTCATGTTATTAATATAAATTAACGTACTCAGCATGGAAATAGTAAAGATAAGTACAAATGGCATTTCCTAATATTTTAAAATTCATTTATACCAGCTTTGTTCCAATTTTTAAAATAATAGTGAAGTACATTGTTTTTCTTTTTTAAAGACATGGATGTAATGAGGCCCTTGATAAATGAGCAGAATTTTGATGGGACATCAGATGAAGAACATGAGCAAGAGCTTCTACCTGTTCAGAAACATTATCAACTTGATGATCAAGAGGGTATTTCGTAAGTGTTAAGTCTCTTTTGCATTCAGTATTTTTTGTAATCTTTTTCTGTAGGCAAGACATTTTATTAGCGATACCACAGAAGGCACAAAGAGGATTCAAGGAATTTATCATTTATTTGGGAAAGAAGAAATGCATTTAAATCCCAGAGCAGTGTATAGGAATCATTACTATGCTGATACATATCAAATGCTATGGATCTAGAAAGAAGGGAGATCTGATCGAGAGGAAGCAAAGTGGCTTCTGAAATGATTAGAAGTTAAATAGTGGGAGATAGCAAATACTTCTTTATGCTGAGTGCATAGTATGAAACAAAGTCATGGAGGTAGGAAAGCATTGGAATGCTTCTTTAAACCTTTTTTGACATTTTGTCATTAATTGATTTGAATAAGTTCTTATTCTAATAATAATTTAATAATTAAGCAAAGTATCATGAACTTAATTGATTAGAAAAGATGAGTATAAACTCAAAAAAATTTTAGGCAGACATTTTTGTTTCATAAGTTTAATTTTTTTTTTTTTTTTTTTTTTTCTAGTTTTAATTTATTTCTTCTTGATCAAAAGATTTTTTTTTTTTTTTTTTTTGAGACAGAGTCTCACTCTGTTGCCTGGGCTAGAGTGCCCTGGCATCAGCCTAGCTCACAGCGACCCTAAACTCCCAGGCTCAAGCAATCCTCCTGCCTCAACCTTCTGGGTAGCTGGGACTATAGGCAAGTGCCACCATGCCCAGCTAATAAGAGATCTTTTTTAAATGCCCCCTAGAAACTATTATTATCAGATCCATTAGGGAATTCATGATGCTAAAAATTAATTTATTATTTATCTTACCTGATGATATAATACATGCAGTTTTCAAACTTGTATTTTTTTTCTTTTAATTAACTTCTTAAGTTGATAGTCATAAATCAGATATGTTTAATATCATCATTATGTAGACACTGTCAAACAATTGCTATCTTACTAGCCTAATCTTCAGCATTGTTCTGAAAATCATAGCCACAAAGTATCTTATGAGAAAATTACCTTTTCTTTAATTATTACTTTATTGTTTGCAAAAACACTTTCATGTAAATATGTCATTTAATCTCCACAGTAACTCTTGGTGTTTCAGTGTTAAGTAACAAGGATAGACTTGAACCAAGTATGACTTCTGGCCCAGTGGTAGCACGGAAATGTTAATTTGGTTCCTTGCCTAGATTAATTTTCAGTTCCCTTCTAATACGAATACCATGAACATGTGATTTTAATAGCTTTTGTTCTAAAACGTTTAAATCTTATTTATAACTTTTACTTTTCAGATTTGTACAAACTCTTATGCATCTCCTTAAAGGAAATATTGGAACTGGCCTTTTAGGACTTCCGTTGGCAATAAAAAATGCAGGCATAGTGGTAAGACTTATCTTTGTAATCTCCAGTTAAGATATAGCTATCAGTCTAATTTATAGCAAAAATTACCACAAGCTAACATCTAGCCTAATCAAATATAATCTGGTCAGGTGACATTTAGATGGTCATTTAGCTGTTATAGTGATAAAATTATGTGAACTGTGGTAATGATATTTAACAAAAAATGAGAATTAGTTTTTCATTTTTACTTAATTATTTATTTGTAGTATTTAACAAAAAAACTCCAAACCTAAAACAGTGTTTGATTTTTCCAGATATGGTTATATCTTATTCTTTTAGATATTCAGGGATTTACATACCAACAAATATATTTATGAAACAGATTATTTGTATTATGAAACTATTTTAGAAACTTTTTTATACTCCATAAAATATACAGATTTAAAGAATAATAGTTAAGAAAAGGAATAACAATATCTTTTAAAAATAAATATTTAAAGCATTATTAGAGACAATTATTGTAATTATTATAACAACAGAGAAACTTGATAAAGGAGAATTCATTTATGAAGTAATGAAATTATATTTAAATTTTTTTAATGGACCAGTTTCTTAAAAATAGTTTTAACTACCATCTTCTTCCTTATTTGACTGTTTTGTCCCCCCTAATGTATAGTAACTTAAAAATTTCTGATTATAAAAATAAACTTTGGCAATATTTTGGTTGTCTCAATGATACAGGCATCACTTTAATTTTAGTAAATAAATACTTGAAATTTTTTATGTACCACTTTTTGAAATAATTATTTTCAAATCACAGTTTCTGATACATAGTAAGTACTCAATAAGCAGTCTATAGAAGAAATTGATTGCTCACAATCCCAGTCTGATATTGTGCTTTTTAGTCATTTAAATAATGATGCATAGTTACATATAATTATAATGGTAGGACACTGATAATTGTAGACTTGCCATCTCATATTAAATATGACATTGTATGCTGTTCTGCTTTGTTGCATATCTATACTTTGTATTATAGGTTTGGGTGGCCAAGTTGATAAGGTGGAATCATATGTGGTTGGCTTAAATATTATTTAAAATTCATTCTGTATCAAGTTTATTAGTTTTCCCTATTCAAATGATTATTTAATCATTTTGCCCAACAAATATTTATTTACTGCAAAAGAGTAATTCATTGACTCATTGCTTATAAAGTTACTCAAATTTTGTTAAATATTTAAACCTTATAAATTTTCTTCCCCACAGCTTGGACCAATCAGCCTTGTGTTTATAGGAATTATTTCTGTTCACTGTATGCACATATTGGTACGTTGCAGTCACTTTCTATGTCAGAGGTAAATGTGGATTTGTTAAGCCTATTTAATTTATTTTAAAGCTATCAATTTATTTACAGCATCAGGTAGTCTTATATTTCTACTGTGCTCTGTATTTCCTTTATTATATAGACAAGTCTAAGATAATGAATATGAAAAAAGGTAGCATTTCATACAATTTAAATCTAGTTAGAATCTATATATTTTTAAGAGGTAGCCTTATTAGTAAAATAGGTTTCTCTTATTTAGTATAAATGGAAAAAATCAGGAAGGATGTATAGGGGCAGTGGAGGCAGTGATACAATTTTTAGTTATGGCATAATGGTCTTCAGTTTATCAATAATTCAGTTTGGGGCGTAAAGCCTTTGGTGCTCTTTACTGGTATATGGGTTAGTAGTAGATAGTCATTAAAATAATACTCTTTCTTTATTTTTGTATCATGAAATACTTCTATTGGATAATACTCCAACTTTTTTAAAAAAATAATAATGCCTATTCTGTTAGACCAATATCCAGTCTTGACCCTTTTTATTTTTGTTATTTGCTCTTAAAACTTTGGGTAAATCACTTACAATCTTTAAATGACAATACATATTTTACAGAAGAGAGAGAGGAATTGAAGAAGTAATACCTACCTTATGGGGCTGTCTTGAAGATTAAATGAGATAGTTTGCGTGGAAATGTATTGTAGAGCCCTGTACAGATGTATTTTTAAATAATGCTGTTCTCAGAATGGAATAATTTAGACATGAACAATGTATTAATAGTTGGTGATGTTTTTAGGTATTTAAACTATTTAAATCTCTGGAGCACAAATATTAAGTTATATGAATTCTGTAGTTATATAAACTTTAGCAGTAGATAAAAATTAACATTCTGATAAAAAGGGCAGTTATTAAAATTTAATGAGGCATGCTTTAGAAATGTTCAGATCTTGAAATTTTGAAAGCTCATCTGTCATTGCATAGCCCTACATTTGCTAATTCCCATTCATTTGTTGTTCTTTTCAAGGGATGGCTTTATGAACCAACTTAAAATCTTTCTTTTTCCTTTGTATGAATATCGTTAAATTATAGGTATAAAAAGTCAAACTTAGGTTATAGTGACACTGTGAGTGTTGCTCTGGAAGTAAGTCCTTGGAGTTGTCTCCAGAAGCAAGCAGCATGGGGACGGTAAGTACTTGCTGTGTTACTAATATCTGATTGTCAAAATTATGTTAATTTTTAAGTATTTTAATCTGACAAGATATATAAATAAAAGTATGATAAAGATGGGGAATAAACATAAAAACTTTAGAGTTAGGCAGGCTTAAGTTCAAATTTCAACTCTACCATTTTTCAGTTTTATGACCTTGGTTAAATTATTTATCATTTTGGCTTGTGTTTTTTCACTCTGAAGTGAATTTATAATAATATCCATTTCACAGGATTATTATGGTAGATTAAACAAAATTATATTTATAGAGCACCTGGACAACCAATGACATAATCATGTTCAGTAATTTTTTAAATAAAGGAAAAAAGCAAGACAAATGTTGCAGTCTCATTATTTCAAATAAATTGGTGGAGTTTAGCTACATGCTCATAGGATATCTGAGGTATGGATATATTTTAGCATAACTTTATTTTAGTGTCTTGTTATTTAAATTTAACTTTATCATAGGTGGCTTTGGCTAGTCAAAGTCAGATAAACACAAGACTGGAAAAATAAGGAAGTATAAGCGAATCAAGTGCTAACAGTGGTACAAATGATATGTGAGGTGGGAATTAAGAGAAAGAACAGTGTTGGTAGATAAGTTTATGGTTAAATACAGCATTTCTGGGGATTTTTAGGAGGTTATGTTTGTTTATGAGTTGCTCAGAGCTGATATGCTGAGTAGGAAAAGGAAGGAAACAGAACCCAATGCCCTAGGGACTTGCCTACAGAACCCAGAACTGCATCTTCTTTCTTCTGGCCCAGACTAGAGGCATCTTTGTCTACTTGTTCTATGAAGAAGAATGGCTTTCAGATAAAAGTGGCTGGAATGATTATTGGGGGACACTGAAATCAAAGGTGGATGAAGACATATTAAGGGAATGCTTAAATGCAATTCATTTAAGGAGAAGAGACTTGAATTCATTTCAGGGTACCAAGATACTTTACAGATGAGATCCTTGAAGAACCATGGAGAGTAGTAGAGTTATGACAAGAATGAAGATAGGCATACTGATCTCAATTTCAAATGGGAGGAGGGGGGACTGTAGATTTTGTAGACCACAGTGTTTGACAGGTTGACACATGGTCAAACAAGAGACTATAGGGGATTAGTAAGTGCATGCTATAGTACTCACTCATTGTCCTCAGACCAAAATGAAGAAGTCTGGGCTGTATATTAATATCATGTAGGCAGATTTGTAACTGATTACTGCCATACCCAAATAATGCTAATATGGCTGATGTCTCTGGTAATATCCCTTCCCTACTCCTGTATACTATTTCATGTAGCTGGAATTTTCTAGAATACAGTCATCCATTGGTATGCATGGGGAATTTGATACCCCCCCATGGATACCAAAATCCAAATCCCGTATATGAAATGATATACTATTGGCACATTACTTACGTATATCCTCCTGCAGACTTTAAATCTTCCCTAGGTTACTTATAATACCGAATACAATGCCTACATATCACTTCATTTCCATGGATTCATTGTAGTACTTACTTAGTGTATGACAAATTCAAGTTTTGCCTTGGGAACTTGGTGGAATTTTTTTTCTGAATGTTTTCTATTTGCATTTGGTTGAATCCATGGATATAGAACCCACAGAGACTGACTGTATCTCACTAACAAAAATAAAATAAGAACAGAGCAAAGCCACTGGAGAGGTCTCTACTGGTGTGATTTAGTGCCATGCTTCAAATCCTCTTCCATTCCACATTCTTATTAGTGATTTGGATACTAGAAAGCACGCTCATCATATTTGTAGATGATATGAATCTGGGAGGGATGAGAAATATACTGGGTTGATCTGAAAAGATCTTGAAAAGTAGTTGAGTTGGGCTTAATCTGAAAGATGAAATGTTTTTATGCAATGATTTTATAAGCTGATATTCTTAAAATGTTGAATTTCAGAAATAGAAGATGATGGAAAAATCTTGGCCTTTTAACTTAATGGAGGATCTTTTTGTTTTATAATAATTCTATTGACACATTGATGATAAATGTGTGATTTTTGTAGAAAATAAATATTTTAAATGTTTCTTATTTAAGGAAGCAAAAGAATATGTGCTGTTATAAAATATTTTTAAAACAGTTAAAAAGAGACATAAAATGTATTAATATTTCAGCAGCTCTGATTGATAACTTATTTTTGAATATAATCTTTTTCCAGGACTGTGGTTGACTTTTTTCTTGTGATAACACAGCTGGGATTCTGTAGTGTTTATATTGTCTTCTTAGCTGAAAATGTGAAACAAGTGAGTATTTTTCTCCAGTTAATGAAATAATTTTCTTCTAATGCCCTGCCTATGGCATCATATTTCTTCTGTGGAATCCATGGTTGAATATGAAAATGTGTTCCTTTCATAAATGATATTTCTTTTTAGATTTTACTTTAGTGTGGTTTTTTTTTTTTGCAATATGGATTTATGCTGTTATTGTTGATTTATTATTTTTGCCATAATATCAATAATGCTTGTTATTTCAGATCAGAATATGACATAATTTACTGATTCTTAGCTATTTGAAACTTAGATCTCAAAAGCATATATATAGATGCTTTGGAAGCATATTCTTTACATTGATTTTCTATAAAAATATGTAAGACTACAGCCAACAGCCTCAAAAGAAAAGTAAAAAAATAAGCATTCACTACAAAAATCCAATTATTGCCATTGTCTAAAAATATACTGTTTCCAAAAATGAACAGCTTTCTATAGTTCTCTCCATGTTGTGAAGGTTTCCTGTAAGAGGAAGTGGTTTGCAGTCTTGGTAGTGACTGACAGTTCATTTGGACAAACACTGAAATAAAAACTCCTTCTATCAAAACAATGCCAAAGCATATTTCTTTATAATTGGTATTATTATTATTCCTATATTACCCATTGGTCTTCTTAAACCATTATTTTAATTAAAAATGTTTATTACTTATCTACATGTAAATGGTACAGTAAGCATTTTACATAGTATTATATAGAATTGTCTTGTAGGTATTTTAATGCAAAATGATGATGTGAATATTTTTTCTAAAGAACCTATATGTATATATAAGTATATATTTGACTCTCTTTTGTAAGTATAAAGCATACTTCATTTTATATTTAGACCAAGAATTGGCAAACTTTTTCTCTAAAGGGCCAGATAATAAGTATTTTCCACTTTGCTGGCCATATGGTCCCTGTTGTAACTACTCAATTCAGCCATAGATAACAATATGTAAACATATAAATATGGCTATATTATAGTAAAGTTTTGTTTGCAAAAATAGATGATAGGCCAGATTTGGTCTGCAGGCCATAATTTGCTAACCCCTGATTTAGACTATCCGTGTACATTATATTTGAGCCACTAGCTTAAATTTTTAATATTGGAAGAAGTCATCAAGTCAAACCCTCTTTTAGAAAACAGTTGTCTTAAAAGGTCACAGCAAGTTAATAATCAGAGCCCGGATTTCCAAATCAGTGTTCTTCCCAGTGTACCATGTCTCGACATCTAGAAAAGTTTTGTTTGTATCTGGAAAATTCCAAACCTAGCTTAAATGTCACCTATTCTGTGAAATCTTCCTCAACTCTCTTGCCTTCCCTTTCTTCATCTTTTGCCAGAATTTATTGATTTTTCTCCTGGGTTTTGTCTAACACTTTAAAAATAATTTTGATTATACTGTATTAAAGTTAATTACAAGTTAATTTTCACCACTAGACTGCAAACCCTTTGAAGGAAGGGACCGTGATATTTGTTGTGTTCAGCACGGTAAACTATCATCTAAGAGTTCCTCTTATTGGTACCCAATATGGTTACTGGACTGAAAGGGAAATGAACTCACTAAACTGGGAGGGATTATTTGTTTTTCATCTCTTTATTTCTTAGACCTACCACTGTATCTGATTTATTGAGCAAGTGTTCAATAAGATTTTGTGGACTCAAAGGGTTAACCTTTCTGTTTGATTTTTCCTAATGATGGTATCTCTGCCACTTTCCTTACTCCCATCCTTTCTCCCATGCATTTCTCCCATTTCCTTTGTCAACTCTTCTCTTTCAGCTCCTAGTGATTGTTTTAGCGTGGTTTATCACTTCCATAGCTATTTATCCTTGTGTCAATAGAAGGAATGATGTCAACAGATTAGTGTTGTGACTGCTGACAGTTTTAGCCAGGAGATACTCTTTTTTTTTTTTTTTTTTTTTTTGAGACAGAGTCTCACTTTTGTTGCCCAGGCTAGAGTGAGTGCCGTGGTGTCAGCCTAGCTCACAGCAACCTCAAACTCCTGGACTCAAGCAATCCTCCTGCCTCAGCCTCCCGAGTAGCTGGGACTACAGGCATGCACCACCATGCCCGGCTAATTTTTTGTATATATACTTTTAGTTGGTCAATTAATTTCTTTCTATTTTTAGTAGAGATGGGGTCTCGTGAGCAATCCGCCCGCCTCAGCCTCCCAGAGTGCTAGGATTACAGGCGTGAGCCACCGCGCCCGGCCTAGGAGATACTCTTAGATGCTGTCTACATGTGAGAGTCCCAATAAATTACATAGTTTTTTGTTCCAGCCTCATATTACTATTTTTCCCAAATATCTTCTAAACTATTTCTTCTCTCCTTTCTTTTCATAGATACTTGCAGACAATCAAATTCATATATAAACTTTTCTGGAAGAAAAATTCATAATCTAAACCATTGCTGTTCCTTTAGATTTAGGTGTTCCTCAAACGTATTGTAACTGTAGAATCAAGTGAAAGACATTAGTGAGAGCAAGTAGAGATGAGAGCTGTGGAGAAGGTAGAAAAGAAATAGCACTTAGGAGTTAATTAGAATCCTGTTTACACTCTTTTTGTTTATTAAAATAAAGCATCAATCATTTTATTGGCATTACTTATTATAGATGATGTGCTTTTGCTTTTGCAAGTATTTATTCCACAAATTGAAAATTTCTAAGACTCCTAACTCCATGAAGACCCTATTTATCGTTAAGAACTGGTAAGACATACCATCTTACCAGTCATTTATATAGAATATGATGGAAATGATGCCTTTATAGAATTTTGTAACATAGTACTGTATCTTTTCTAATATCTCCTACAAGAGTTACCAAAAAGCTCTATTTAAATTGAAAAATAGTGCTAACATTGTCTTATAATTTTTTATTTATAAGCTGTGACATATATCATTTAATCTTTATAACTACTCTGTAAAGTAAGTACTGTGCTCTGTTTATGAATGAGGAAGCAGTCTCAGTAAACATGAGTAAGGTGCCCTAAGTCATGCAGAATTATGTTGAAACCTAGGTCTCTGCCACTGCTGCCACCCAGTAGGTTAATTGTTCATCACTGGACAGGACATAGTCTGATTTTAGTTGTGATTGTTTATATATGTATGGGTATGACATAAAGAGTAAAGAAGATAAAATAATTGTCTATAAGCTTAGGATTAGTGACTTTCTCCCAGGATATATTATCAGTTGCTTCCAAAGTTGAAGGGAAAAGTTAAGCTGATTTGCACATATCCTAAGAAGACCAGGTAGAAAAAGTAACTCTCTAGGAGGAAAGGAGAAAGCCTGCTGTAGATAGAAAGGTAAATGTCCTTTTCAGGCATAAAGAGTAATATAGAAAAAAGATATGCAGTTAGGCTTGAGAAAATAGTTGAGGTGGTCACTGAAGCAGCAGGAGGTCAGAGATACTCTCTCAACAAAGGTGTTCTTTTATATTTGATAGCAGTATACAATAGTAGACACACTGATTGATTAAACCTTACCTATTACTGTTATAGTTAAACACTGTGGAATTGTTACTCCCTTAATTTACATGAAATTGAAGGTACAGTGTTTGGTTAACCCAAAGAATTAAGGGTTTAGTTGCCACACAAATGTGGAAACCTGCTTTGTAACTGCCACATGGTTTCATTAAGCCAGTATAGTATGTATTATACAATCAGTAAGGGAAAAGAACTCTAGTGCTTCTGGTGATTCTGGTCCATTGTGGTTATAGGTGCTTCTCTCTGTTTTTACTCTAAGATACTCTAGAAAATTTCAGATAGATACAATAGTGTACATGAGCATGGAGGGTGGGGAAGGAATACAGAGTAATATTAAGAGGGAAAAATGTAATGATACCAAATTGACTTCAGAGTCAGAAGATAGGAGTTCAAATCTCTGCTTTCACAGTTTGAATTCACATATGGGGCAAGACCTCCCCAGCCCTGGTCAAGCCTTAGTTTCCTTATTTATACGAATGGAAATAGTACCAAAATTTCTCCTTGTTCCTCATAAACTTACTGTGAGGATCAGCTGACAAAAGGTTTATGAAAGCCTTTGTAAAATGTAAAACAGTATACAAATGTAGGGTATAATGACTTTAATTCTGCATTTAGCTTTGCTAAGGAATATAAGCTGCCTTTAGAATTTTAACCATTAAATTGCTGAATCATTGAAAAGTTAATAAGTAGTGGGTTTTAGTAAATTTGAGCTCAAAATGGAAACAACTGAATTTAGTAATTTTATTTTATAATGTTTATTTCAGTGTTTTACATTTTGGTAAACATGTGAGATCATAGGAAGTCCTATTAGATAGCCAATCTTTGTCTCTAGAGGGCACCAAAGGACTCAAATGTTTACCTGAATCTTGCTCTAGGTATGTATCTACATTTTTATTTTATATTATTTTTTAATCCTGAGAATTTTTATAACCATCTTTCTGCCAAAAATGCTAAATTATTATAAGAGATTTGTTTAGAATTAATTTTAAATTCTGAAGCATCCCCTAGTAATAATTCAGACAGCCATTTTTATTGGCTATAACTGCTTTTCTCTTGCCAAGCATCCTTGTTAGAGCTTAACTTTGATCATTACTTAATCTAATTTTTGGAGGTACTGCTTTGATAAGAAGTACTTGGCTCTAAATAATTTAGTTACTAGAAAATTAAGTCCACAATGAAATACATTTCATGAAAAAGTAATGTAAATTACCAAATTTGCTTTTATTTCAAATTATAGAAAATAAAATATAAAGTGCTAATGGCCAGTTAGAAGATAATTATGAGCTATGCATTTCTTAAATGGTACATAGTGTAACTTGAGAGTTTATTATTCCAGTATGAGTTTTAAATTGCCTATATAAAAATCTAATAGATACATTCCCTGCAGTCTGAGATGATGTGTATATTTGTAGTGACATTAAACATTGCTTATCATGGATTATAAATGTAAAATTAAATTAAACACTTGAATTAATCATATCAGAATTTTATTTTAAACTTCTGTTGGCCTCTTATTAGTACTTGCTGCATTTAGAGAGAGAGATGTCTGAGTGGAGGCCAGGTGGCAGCTTGGTCAGGACCCCCCTTTCTGGGTTGCAGTAATTTGGTCAGGTTAACATATAGCTGTTGCAAGTTAGATGCTGGAGTCCTGGGCCTGGATTTGAATCCTAGAACCATCACTTACTAGCTTTATGCCATTCAGAGTTTTTTTTTCCAACCTCTCTAAGCCTCAGTTTCTGCAGATATAAATTGAAATTGATACTATTATACTACCCACTTTAGAGAGTAATTTTGAGGATTAAATGAGATGTTACATATATAAACCATGTAGTTACATACCTGATTCATAGAAAGTACTCAAAGTACTTAAGAATGTGTGTATCCACAGACTTTGATAATGTCAGTGTGTTTGAAGGAGGGTACACCATGTTTGGGGGCAAATAACTTGTCACTGGTATTCAAGTTATGGTATGATCTGCCTCTGCTGTAAGTTTTTAAGTTTGTTTCTAAAGTTGTTTGTAGTTTCATATCTATTTCCATAAGTTGGATTATGTGATTAACTGAATCAGAAAAGGTTTTTAATATATGGAGACTGTAAATCACTGTATTTCTTTTGAATTCTGACAAGTGGGTTATAGAAGTGACAGAATAAGTTTTCACATAAAGTTTATTTAGCTTGTAGAAGATTTTTGCTCTAGCAAAAATTTATCTACTGTTAAGCATATGGCCATGACTGAATATAGTAGGTTCTTAATGAATATCTACTGATAATGGTAATTTGTAAATAATAACTTTATAAAAGATTTAAAGTTAGGCTATGATTATTAAATTTTACTTTGATTACTCTACATTTCTGAGTGGTACTTAGAGCTTGTTTCCTATCTGAAGAAAATAAGCTGGAGTAGAATACCCAATGGCCGTTATAGACAAGTATGATCTCAATTTAATGATCTCAAAAATGAGATCTTTGAGTCTTTGCAGAGATCATGAGTATGATATTCACAGAGCTTCAAAGTAAATTAGTAAATCCATCCTCATAATTTTTAATGAACTTTATTTTCACAGTATGATAGAAGTTACCATGCAAAGAAGATTATCCTACTTTAATTATCCTTATGTTTGATATATATGTTTCTAGGAAGCCAGAGTATCTTGAAAAAAATGCAAATATTTTATGTATTATAAAGTGCATTATAGGAATGTATCACAGCATGTATAGATCATAATTTCCTTTCTGTGTCTCTTTTATGATTAAAAGCTGATGGAAGTTTTCCCCCCTTCCTTATTCTCCTGGTAATCCTGTCTAGGTTCATGAAGGATTCCTGGAGAGTAAAGTGTTTATTTCTAATAGTACCGATTCATCAAATCCATGTGAGAGAAGAAGTGTTGACCTGAGGATATATATGCTTTGCCTTCTTCCATTTATAATTCTTTTGGTCTTCATTCGTGATCTAAAGAATCTGTTTGTACTTTCATTCCTTGCCAACATTTCCATGGCTGTCAGTCTTGTGATAATTTACCAGTATGTTATTAGGGTAAGTATAACATGTTTCTAACTAAATGTCATGCATTTATTATATAAGTAAAATTTTTGTTTGCTTTGGAGGTAAAAGTAATGCTGTGTAAAGATGTGGCACACAGTAGACAATTAGTAAGCGTTAATTACCTTTTGAGGGATACTGTTGAATTAGAAAAGTATGTGACATAGAGATTAAAACCACAGGCTTTGTGGTCAGATCTGGTTTTGAATCATGGTAAATATACTTCTGGGCTTTGTGACAGTGCTTCAGAAGATAGTAATACCTACCCAAGATATTTAGGATTGTGCTTTTAGTACACTACAACAAAAAACGCATTAAGTGTATTGTTTATTCCTTTAAAATTTGAACCAACTACAAGAGATGGGTGTATAGATGTAATTCTGTAATTTTCTCTCTGCCACCACACTAGTCTGTAAGTCCTTTATCTGAAGGATATGCAGTAACCTCAATTGATTTCATAGTCTAGTCTGGGGATTCTTAACCCAGTTTCCTTAAAATAATCTGTTGATGGGATTCAGGGAGTCTGCAAGTCCCTCAAAATTGTTTGCAAGATTTAGTGTTTCTGTACATATGTATGTGTTTTTCTGCCAAACAGCTGTATAGCTTTCATCTCTCAAAGAGGCAATGACCTTGCCTCCAAGGTAATTGTTGTAATACCTCCTCAGCAATTCATTACAAACTTTTGTGATGAGTCTGTGTTTCATTTTTCCCTCTCTCTGAATTTCAAATCTGTAGTCTCTATCATAACACTTGAGTGGAAGTGAACAGACAAGAAGCTCATATAAGGCTTTCCATGACCTCTTCGATGAACATGTAAGAGCTAGTGGAGCAGAAAATGAGGTTCCCTGGATAGAAGAAACAGCATTAGCTAATGCATGGAAAAGTGAAATAGCATCCTACTTGCCTTGAATAATAGTTTATTTAGTATTATCTAATGATCCAAACATTTTAATACCCTTTCCGTTCTGAACCTAGCTTATGTTTTTGGTGATGTATCACAATTATATCACACAATTCTACCTATGCTTCAGATGTTCTAGACACCTCTGTTCCCCAAATTATAAGTGTACTTTCACACTTTAGTTGCTTTGTTCATTCTTTACTTGCCTTGAATTCTACTCCTAATCAGGTAAGACAGAGAACGCAGAGTGGTGAGGAGAGCAGGGACCAGACTTTGTGGAAATGGCCATGGTAGAGCCAGAGATCTTATAAAAGATGTATAGTTTGTCCAGATAGTGAGAGTTGAAACAATGCTATGAGTCAGGACCAAATAATCAAAGCCAGACGTGGGACACGGACACCCCACCCCCACCTCACCTCCCCCACCCCCGGTCATAAAGCAAACACCAAAACCAAAAGGAGACCTGTTCTAGGTAGAGCTATGAGGTAGAAAGCAAAAGTCAGGAGCCAGGTGTCTTAGAGAACTGAACGAGCAATAAAATAGAATGCAGAGTGAATTTCTTTTAGACACCAATAGCAGTGGTTGATAACTGACTATATGGCTCTCAGCTCAGACCTTGAGAATGCTTATGGATTTCCTGTTGTGGCAGGAGCCATACCTAGTGTGCATAGCTTGGGACTTTCAGGTGGAAACAGATAATCAGGAGTAGTTTGCTCAGGTGGAATGTGTGGGTATGAGGGAAACAATCGCTTTTGGCAGTGAAATCCTAACAGCTTGACTACTTTTAACATAGGTTGCTTAAAGTGTTTATTGAAAGAATTATTCACTTTTATAACCTACATTTGCTGTTGTGAAGCCCAAAAGTACATGATTTTGCTCTTCCATTTAAAATTTTTTAGAATAAGTAAAAATGTAACCTGTGTTATTTTTTTTTTCTACCTTTCTCTAGAACATGCCAGATCCCCACAACCTTCCAATAGTGGCTGGTTGGAAGAAATACCCACTCTTTTTTGGTACTGCTGTATTTGCTTTTGAAGGCATAGGAGTGGTAAGAATTTAGTCCTTATTATTAATTTTTAAAATATTAAATCAACACAAATATTTAAAGCTAAATAAAAATGCATGTTTTTCTTTTTTGTTTAAATTTTGTTTATTCATAGAACATGATTTCCAGTTTGGTATGATAGATTGAATTATAGTTTAGTTCTTCCACTAACTGTATCACTTGGGCTCTCTAATTCTCTTTTTCTGTATCTGTAAAATGAGAATATTAGACTAGATAATTTTTAATATTTTATTATGGAAAATTTTAAACATTACAAAATTTAGACAGTAGTGTAATGAACTCCTAGCTAGTACATCACTCAGCTTCAAAAATAATTCACTCATGGCCAATATTGTTTTATCTATATCCCATATACTCAAGTACATCCCAAACATCATATTTTATAGACTAGATTATTTGAAGGGAATTGACATAGTTACACAGTGGTTCCTAATCTTGGGGCCACAGAACCGGTTCGCACAGCAGAAGGTGAGCAGTAGGTGAGTGAGCGAAGCTTCATCTTTATTTACAGCTGCTCCCCATTGCTCATATCACTGCATAAGCTCTGCCTCCTCTCTCATCAGCAGTGGCATTATATACTCATAGGAACACGAGCCCTACTGTAAACTGCACTTGAGAGGGATCTAGGTTGCACACTCCTTATGAAAATCTAATGCCTGATGATCTGAGGTGGAGCTGAGGAAATGATGCTAGCACTGGGAGGCAGCTGCAAATACAGATTATCATTAGCAGAGAGGTTTGACTGCATAATGAATGTAATGTGCTTGAATCATCCTGAAACCATCCCTCCCACCCTGGTCTCTGGAAAAATTGTCTTCCATGAAAGCAGTCCCTGGTGCCAAAAAGGTTTAGGACTGCTGAGTTATATAGTTACTGTTATATAAGAAGAGTCAAATATAAATTCTTCCTTTAGATTTATTCATATCATATTTGTTTTGAGAAACAATGTTATCATAAAGCTAATACCAAGAGATACAAGCATCCTGAGGATTCTAAGATCTTAAATATTTCCATTCAAGATGCTCCCATTTCATTTAAAACCTAGAATTTGTAGATTTGGTGAAAATAGAATATTGCTCTCTACTTTGTTCCATAGCTTATGTTTCATTGTGTGATGGTTGGGTACGGGAGCAGACCACTTGTAAACATCTATGTATATGAACCACAGACAAAATAGATCTAAAAGAACCACAGACAAAATAGATCTAAAAGATCTAAAATAGATCTAAAATTCAGAAAATTGCATTTCTGCTCTTTCTGTATTCTCTTTTAGAGAATTCTCATGAATTCTTACAAATTTTTACAGCTCTAGTTGGAAGCATAACTATGGATTTTCGTTTCTGTCCTTAACTGGTGAGCTCTAGTTAACTCTTGGACATTTCCAGTTAAGTGTTGTTTCTCTGATATCTCAGATTCAACAGCTGCAAAGACTGACACATACTTCCTTATCTAAAACAAGCTTTACTTTTCCATTCCTCTTTTTCTTTTACTGTTACTTTCAGTTGCTTAAGCTTGAAACCTTGGAGTAATTCTTTTTACCCTGTCATTGGTTCCCCATTATCAATCAGTAATTAAGGCATATTGATTCTTCTTTTATATTTCTCAAATCTGTTCCATAAAGGAGATTATGTGTAAAACACCTCTAAAGCTGTGATACAGGGGAAGCCCAAGGAAATGTAAATTTGCTTTCCTTTCTCCTTTTCAAGCTGCATGGGCACCATTCTTGATGACTGCATGATATTTCAGGTCTGGATTATCTCCAGAGCATCCAAAATATTTTCTGATCACATTTCTACTTTTGGCACTTAATGTTTCCATATGGAATTGATTTACATGAAGTAGGGAAAATATTAGAGTTATCATCTCATAGGGTTATTGTGAAGACTGCAAGATGCTGCATGCAAAGTTTTTAGAATAATACCTGGCATATTGTAAATGCTCAGTAAATAATTGCTATTATTATTACTTAGTGTCTATCACTGTATGGCCAAAACTTCTGAATATTTTCCAAAAAAACTTATTTTCAGTCATCCTTTTTTATTTAAAGGTTCTATTTTTAACATAATAAAAGTTATTTGTTTTACTAAAATTGACAAACAATAGATACAAGTGGATAGATATAGAAACAGTTATAGACATGTGTGTATACTCCAGTGATACTCCAGTAGCGACACGCACACCTACCACCCAGATCTAGATTTCTAAATACCATTCTTCAACGAAAGAACCATAGTTCTTTGGAGAAATGGCTGACTTTAGGGCTGAAGCAAGGAAATTCAAGATGAGACTGGAGCATCTTGTGGTTTCAGAAAGGAAGGTAGTATTTGAAAAACAAAAGAATGGAGGCATATCAAAGGGACACAAGAGCCACCCTGATAGAATTCACAGTGGCCTAAGGTAGAACAATATGAGTCACAAAATAAATGACAGAATATTAGATTATAACTCAGTGTATAAAATGAATATATATGAGTTCATACTAATGCAAATAATTGATTAAATAAATATATACATAGGGGAAAATCCTAAATAATTTATGTAGATACTCCTCCCTCCAGGAGGTGTAGCTCATTGCTCCCTGGTCCCTGGAGAATGGGCTGGATTTAGAGTCTTACTTTCAACAAACAGAGTATAGTGAGAGGGAAGAAAAGAAACTTTATGGCAGAGAGATCTGGCAAATACTACCTTAGCCAAGTGATTAAAATTAACGTTGCCAGTGATAAATCATGTTAGTAACACATGATGAAAGGGGCATTTTACCTCTGCGGTATCCTTTTCTAAAACCTACAATACCAATCCAGTCACAAGGAAAACATCAGACAATAAAGGAACGTTATGCAAAATACCTAACCAGTACTCCTCAACTGTCAGGATAATGAACAACGTGCAAAGACTAAGAAACTGTCACAGACCAGAGGAGACTAGGAGGCATGGTGACAACATGCAGTGTGGTATCCTGGATGAAACCCTGGAATAGAAAAAGGATATTAATGGAAAAACTAATGAAATTCATATGAAGTTTGGAGTTTAGTTAATAGTAATGTATCAGTGTTGGTTCTTGGTTGTAACAAGTGTACCATGGTAATGTAAAAGGATAATAGTAGGAGAAACTGGGTCAGGGGTATATGAGAGTTTCTGTGTTATCTTTGCAACTTTTCTATAAATCTAAAATTTTTCCAAAATAAACAGGATATTTAAGAAAAAAACTGACACTGACAGGTTTGCCTCACAAAAGCTGAATTTAAACCTTTTTATTTTAAGTATTAAAAAATATGTAGTGTCAAATATATAGTCACAGAACTATACCTCAACAATATATGTGTTGTTTTAAAGGAAAAAGATTTGCACATAGACTATAAAAAGACCAATTTGTATGTGTAAGAGATGCTGTGTTATTTTGATTTACTTATATTGTAAATTCCCTATTTAAAAAAAGAATTGTGTTCTTTTCTTAGGTCCTTCCCCTGGAAAACCAAATGAAAGAATCAAAACGCTTCCCTCAAGCCCTGAATATTGGCATGGGAATTGTTACTACTTTGTATATAACATTAGCTACTTTAGGATATATGTGTTTCCGTGATGAAATCAAAGGGAGCATAACTTTAAATCTTCCCCAAGATATATGGTAGGTGGATATGAATTTTTTAATCCTAGTTTATATATTTTATAGATATAATTTAACAATATTTGATAATAAAGGTACGGTTTTGGATTTATGGTTTAAATGTGTAAAATTTTTACTGTGATTTCTTTATTTATGCAATGTAGAATTTTTTCGTACTCCCCAGAGCAGACCATATGTGAATTTAGGATTTTTGTGGGATTTTTTTAAAAAAGATTTAAAAATTGTTGGTTGTTCCAAATTTGAATCAAGTGTAAGAGTAAAACATGGACTCTTTTTAATATGGACTCACTTTAATTAAAAAAAATATTAATACCTGACCTTACTGCCAAAAAACCAAGCACTGTGGGTTCCTGATAAAATAATATATCCCATCATTATGGTTCTCACTATGTTACTGGTCAACTTTATATTGTGTGTTCTCCAAGTACTTTCAGAACACAATTGGGAAACATTATAAATAATAAAATGACACATCTTAATGTTCTCTTTACATTAGAACCATATTCTGCTAAATGAAGCAATATATGTGTAGGTGGAAACATTCTCAGAATTTACAAAAGCATTTAAGGAATATTTTACAGGAAAGGGACTAAAGTGGGAGTATGCATGCATTCAAGTTAAGAGATTCATATCCTTAGACAGTTTAAGAACATGGTAAAGGGAAGTATGTGTCAGACTTTGGAGGTGAATCTGAGATGTCAGAGAAACAACACTTCACTGGAAATGTCCAAGAGTTAACTAGAGCTCACCAGTTAAGGACAGAAACGAAAATCTGCAGTTATGTTTGTAACAGTTATAACTGGAGTTGTGAAAATTTGTAAGAATTCATTCTGTAAAAGAGAATTCAGAAAGAGTAGAAACCCAATTAAATTAGCATAAAATGCTCTTTTAGATCTATTTTGTCTGTGGTTCATATACATAGATGTTTACAAGTGATCTGCTCCCATACCAAACCATCAGACAATGAAATACAAGCCATGGAACAAAGTGGAGAGCAATATTCTATTTTCTGTTGTCTCACGCATGATTTTGTGTGAAATGTGCATTGGGTAGGAGAACTTCAATTAAAAAGTAGGAACAGGGAAGGGGTAAGTAGGCATTTTATAATTTATTAAGATAGTTGTACTGGGAGCTTATTTTTTTTACAAAAAGAGCAAAAAAGTTTGAGCCCATGTTTGTAGTTCACAGGTGCTAGGAATCTCAATATTCTGGGAAATAAAGTTGATGTGTAGTGGCAAGTAATCAAGCTGTGTCTTAATTGATCCTAGTGGCTATCAGGGGGTTGAACTCTGAGGAGGTTGTTACCTAAGATGGAAGTATTTAGGCATGAATGGATTTACCAAGTGGTATAAGAAATAAATAAATGTAAAGAAACTTAAAAAGAAGATTGACATATCCTGGACTGTACCCTCTGTCCTCTCCCTTGCAATTTCTTAATAATCTAATATTAAAGTTGCTGATCACTAGAGATCCAGCCCAGACTGCCTCTGCCTATCCTCATTGGAATGACTGTTATAATTCAAAATGAAGGGCATCTGCCAAGTCATTAATTTATCCATCAGATATTTATTATTCACCATTTATGTCCCAAGACTGTTCCAAGCTCTAGAGGTACAACAGCAAACAAATATAAATTTTTTTGCTTATAATGTTTACGTTCTAGTGAACATGCTACAGAAGTTTATTGGTTCAAGGCATTTAATTTAGTTATGAATGCTAGGTAGCCATAATTGTCTTATTGTTTAGCTTAGAATGAGGCGATGCTCTTGGTAAGGATTGGAGCTAGTCCTCAATTATGATGACTTCTTGACAGGGCTAAACCCTCAAGATTCTCAACCTGAGTATCATGAAAAGTCCAAAAGGGAAAGTGAGTTTTCAGGTTATTTTGAAGGATTGCTTCTGTAACCTTGAGAGAAGGTGAATCAGCCAACAACTTATTTCCCAAGTTGGTTTTTAAAAAATTTTAAGATATTCATACCGGAAAATTGAGGTCAAGTATTGATTTATTAGCAAATGTGGGAAAAATAATAGAAGCATTGCAAATATAGAAATCCTGTGTTTTTAAAAATAATGTTTTCACCCGAACTGTAATTTAATTTCCCCCACAATCTGATTCCAAAGATTGACTGAAAAATAATTATGAAAAAATACATTTCTGTCCTTTACTAAGATATTAATTTTCTTTACTATCAGTATCTATCAATGTAATAGGTTTTGTTTTCAGACATGAATCATTTTATTCTTTAAAGTATTATTAATATTTGTTATAGTTAATTTAGTTTCTAAGAATTATCCATACCCATTTTTGGATCATTAATATTTAATTCTAAGCCTATGTAACTTTAATTTTATCTCAATAAAAAGTAATTGTACTTATATGCAAAATGATGTAGATTTATTTTTATATATTAACTATATTTAAAAAACATATAAATGAAAATATAATTAGAAAAAAGGAATGCTCTTCTTTTAAACTAATAATAAACTAATAAGAATATTTGTTTAATTCTCCATTCTCATATATCAGAGTATATGAAACAGGCATCTTTCAGTTATTTCACATATGTTTAGTAATTTGACCATATGTTTAACTTCTAAGCGTCAGGCTGAGAAATAACATTCTTAGCAAATTTTAAAATTAAGATTTTATTGTTGCTAGCCTTAGGGAGTTCCTTCTTACCTAATTATGCTATGTATTTTTAAGTCTTTTTTTACTTTTGCTTTTTTATTTCAAATTACTTTATGATAAATATGTTATAGCAGGAGACTTACTGAATTTCCTCTTACTTGGAAAATCAAGAGAACTGTTTATAATCCTTACCACATTAAGTCTTAAGACATCAGAAATAAGCTTAAAGCCTAAATAATGTTGAGGTTTTTCTTTACTGATAATAGAATACTTTATATCCTTTTAAAATGATTACATTTTTTCCTAAGAAAGAAAACACCCTTCCCTGTGCTTAGGATTCTTAGGTGGGATGGGGGATGATTGTGGCTATTGATGACTTTTTTACTGAAAGAGGACATGTGTTTATCACTGCCCCCGATACTGTGGCACATTTGATTTGCAGTTGCCTTTCTAGTTTGTTTCTTAAAAAATACAAGAGTGATTGGGTTTTTCTTTTGATCATTATAAAATATTTAAATGTTTTTTTAAAAATACAACACATTTTCTGCAACCCAAGAGAGTGGGTTCTCTGTAATGTTCCTTCCTCTGAGTTCTACAATTCTGCATTTTCTCTCTATGTCATTATCAACATTTAAAAAATCTTCTTCTGCCAGACTTAAGAAATTTACCAAAGTCTTTCTCAAGACTTGCGTGCTAAGTTTTGACAGAAGGCTATCTGCACTGTAGAAATATAAAGATATTTATAAAACTGAAGATTGCGCTGATCATCAAAGAGATAAGTTAACTTGGAAAAAAACAACTACTACGTAACTCAACAGCTCTATTTTCTTATAGGTAGTATGTATAATTTAGAGAACTTTGCAAGCTGACACCATTTAGATACCCTCATTTTAGACTTAAGATGATGACATTTCTGCAACTAATGATATAACCTACTAAGATTTTCAACCAAGGAGAACTATTATACAGTTTAATATAAGTTTCTCTTCTATATAAAGATCAATGAGGGTATGATTCAAGATTTTAAAGGCATACCGTATGCTCAGTTTTTTAAAAGAAAGTTAAGAAAACGTTAGCTCTATGTGGGCTGAGTCTAACCTTCAGAATGTTGGCTTATCCCAAAATGAAATCTTTCTAACAATATGTCTCAAACATTGGCTAGCCATGTTCAAGTCTTCTAGGCTTGTCAAAATGAATTGTCCATATATCATCTAGAAATTTAGTTAGTAGAGATCAGTTGGCTTTTTTTTTTTTTTTACAAACAAGCATTTTTAGTTGGTAAGGTTCCACTTATTTATCTTAGCATTAAAAATAAAAAGGAGGAACTTTAGATTCATATTACAAGTGACTAAACTTTGAATTTTTTTCAACAGGTTATATCAATCAGTGAAAATTCTGTATTCCTTTGGCATTTTTGTGACGTATTCAATTCAGTTCTATGTTCCAGCAGAGATCATTCTCCCTGCAGTTACATCCAAATTTCATGCTAAATGGAAGCAAATCTGTGAATTTGGGATAAGGTCCTTCTTGGTTAGTATTACTTGTAAGTATCATTACATATTTATATCGTAAAAATTTTTTATTGCTACATTTCTTAAAATGAAAGCTACTTAAAGTATATTCTCCAATATTTTAAAAACAGTTTTATTCACCCATCTGGGATACTTTTTGTGTTAAAATTCTGTTTTTCTACTACTACATAAGAAAAACACAAAACAAATCCTATCACACTTAACTAATCAAATTATTTTGAAAATGACATTAGTGGTGATTAAAATCAGATATCTAAGGAACCCCCCTCCCCCGATAACACATTTCATTTTGGTTCTAGTTTTGCTCAGGTTTTTTATTTCTGCTAACTTTTATATATTTAACAGTTTAATTCTCCATGACTGCCTATGGGAGAGGGTTTTATAATATTTCATTTTGTGTTGGTCTTTAATAATTTTAGTGGCTTATTTTCTTTTTATTATTTGAAGGACTATATATAATCTCTTATTAAGGTTTCACATCAGAAAATGCCTTTGTAAGGTAATATTAATAATGGAGGCTTACAGAGAGGGAGCTTGAGTTGCTGGAGTAGAAAGAGTGTGAATTTTTGAGTCACACAGACCTGGGGATTCAAGCTCAAGTTTACCACTTACTGTTGTCTTTGGGCAAGTGGTGTACTATCATTGAGCCTTCTTTCCTCAAATATGAAATGAAGATAAAAACTTCCTTAAGGCATTTTTGTGGGATTTAAAAATAATATTAACAAAGTAGCTGGAAGTTATTGTGATCATTGTTGTCACCATTATTATTATTATAACCACAATATAAGGATGACTGCATCACTGTACTAACCGAGGATTGCTTAGAATGATACCAGAGACCAGATTACTAGTGTTCTGGGGAAGAAGCAACTTTGGAAATTCTGTGTGTAAGATATTAATAACCATCTTGTACCATTCAAGGTTAGAGAATGGTAGAGCTAGAAATTTTGGGTAACTTTGTCAGTTGTGTTGAGCAGCCTGAAGTGGAGCTTGTGTCTAGATTTAAAAAATTGGGTGTATTATACTTTGTTTCAAAAGAGAAATGCAAAGCTAGAAAAAGTAGATAAAACTTATTTTTGAATTATTTAAATGAATTATATCACAAATAAGATAAATCATATTGAAGAATGAAGTAAATAAGCTCAGACTCATTAGCTTTTCACCTTTCTCATCTGCCCCCCTCCCCCAGGCATGATTTCCGCTGAGTTTTATTTCCCTTTGTGCACATGTGTGCTCATTGGATAGTTCCAATTTAATAATGAGTACATGTGATTATTTGTTTTTCCATTCTTTAGATACTTCACTTAGGATAACAGACTCCAGTTCCATCCAAATTATTGTAAAAGGCATTAATTCATCCTTTATTATGGCTGAGTAATACTCCATGGTATACATGTACCACATTTTGTTAATCCACTCATGAATTGATGGGCACTTGGGTTGATTCCACATCTTTGCAATTGTAAATTATGCTGCAGTAAACATTTGGGTGCAGATGCCTTTTTGATAAAATGACTTCTTTTCCTTTGGGTAGATACCCAGTAGTGCGGTTGCTATATCAAATGGTAGGTCTATTTTTAGTTCTTTGAGGAATCTCCATACTGTATTATGTAGAGGTTGCACTAATTGTCAGTATTACCAACACTGTATAAGTAGTCCATTCTGTTTGGACTTTGTAATAAAAGGCATTCTAACAGGGATAAAATATATCTTACTATGGTTTTAATTTGCATTTCCCTGATGATTAGTGATGTTGAGCATTTTTTCATGTTTGGTGGCCATTTGTCTATCTTGTTTAGGAAAGCTTCTGTTCATATCTTTTGCCCACTTTTTAATGGGATTGTTTGTTTTTTTATGCTGATTTGTTTGAGTTCTTCATAGATTCTAGATATTAGCCCTATTGGATGTATACTTCACAAATATTTTCTCCCTTTCTGTAAGTTGTGTATTTGCTCTGTTGATTATTTCCTTAGCTGTGCAGAAGCCTTTTAATTTAATCAGGTGCCATTTATTTATTTTTGTTGTTGCTATAATTGCCTTTGGGGTCTTAGTCATAAATTCTTTGCCTAAGCCAATACCTACAAGACTTTTTCCTACATACTCTTCTAGAATGGTTTCATGCCTTACATTTAATTCTTTTATCCCTCTTGAATTAATTTTTGTGAGTGGTGAGAGATATGGATCCTGTTTCATTCTTCAGCATGTGGCTATCCAATTTTCCTAGCACCATTTATTGAATAGTGCTTCTTTTCCCCAGTGTACATTGTTTTCTGCTTTGTCAAAGATCAGTTGGCTGTATGTAGATGGTTTTATATCTGGGTTCTCTGTTCTATTCCATTGGTCTATGTCTCTATTTTTGTACCAATACTATGCTGTTTTGGTTACTATCGTCTTGTAGTAAAGTTAAATATGCCGTTGGTGTTTTCATGGTGATTGCATCGAATCTGTAAATCACTTTGGGTAGTATGGGCATTTTAACAATGTCGATTCTACCAATCCACGAGCATGATATGTTTTTCCATTTGTTTGAGTCATCTGCGATTTCTTTCTTCAGTGTTTCATAGTTCTCTTTGTAGAGATCTTTCACCTTTTTGGTTAACTATATTCCTAGGTATTTTATTTTATTTATAGCTGTTGTGAATGGTATTGAGTCTTTGATTTGACTCTCAGCTTGACAGTTATTGGTATATAGTAATGCTACCGATTTATGTACATTGATTTTGTAATCTGAGACTTTGCTGAATTTATTTATCAATTCCAGGGTTCCCTTTGTGGAGTCTTTGGGGTTTCTAGATATAAGATTATATGGTCAGTGAAAAGCAATAATTTGACCTCCTCTTTCCTGATTTAGATACCCTTAATTTCTTTCTCTTGCCTGATTGCTCTGGCTAGGACTTCCAGCACTATGTTGAATAGAAGTGGTGATAGTGGGCACTCTTGTCTTGTTCCAGTTCTTAATGGGAATGCTTTTAATTTTCCCCATTCAGTGTGGTATTGGCAGTGAGTTTGTCATATATGGCTATTATCATTTTGAAAAATGTTCCTTATAGCCTAGTTTGTTGAGGGTTTTTATCATGAAAGAGTGCTGGATTTTGTTAAATGCTTTTTCTGCATGTATTGAGATGATCATATGGTCATTGCTTTTGCTTCTGTTTATATAGTGAATCACATTTATGGATTTATGTATGTTGAATCATCCTTGCATCACTGGGATAAAGCCCACTTGATCATAGTGGATTTTTTTCTTTGATATGCTGTTGAATTTGGTTTGCTAGTATATTATTGAGAATTTTTGCATTATATTCATAAGTGATATTGGTCTATAGTTTTCTTTTTTTTTGTTGTGTTCTTTCTTAACTTCGGTATCAAGGTGACACTGGTTTCATTGAATGAATTGGGTGGATTCCCTCCTTTTTAATGTTATGGAATAATTTCTGCAGTATGGATACTAGCTCTTCTTTGTAGGTCTGGTAAAATTTGGCTCTGAATCCATCTGGTCGAGGGCTTTTTGTTTTGTTGGAAGATTTTTTTTACCATGTCAATCTTGCTCTTTATTGGTCTGTTCAAAAGTTCTATTTCCTCTTGATTGAGTCTTGAGAGGTTGTGTGTTTCCAGAAGTTTGCCCGTTTCATCTACATTTTCTAGAGATTCATAGAGATTTTTGTAGTATTTACATTACAGATGATATTTTGTATTTTTGTGGTGTCAGTTGTAATGTCTCTTTTTTCATTTCTAATTGAGCTTATTTGGGTCCTTTCTCTTCTATTCCTGCTTAATCTAGCAAGAGGTCTATCAATTTTCTTTATCTTTTCAAAGAACTAACTTTTCATTTCATTGATCTTTTGTATTGTCTTTTTTTCCCTCCATTTTTTAGTTCTGCTCTGACCTTAGTTATTTCTTTTCTTCTGCTGTCTTTGCATTTGGATTGCCCTTCCTTTTCTAGTTCCTTGAGATGTTTCATTAGAGTGTTAATTTGTGATCTTTCTGTCTTTTCTTACTTAAGGGTAAGAATTTTCCCATTAGGACTGCTTTGCTGAATCCCATAGATTTTGATAGTTTGTGTTGAAACCTTTGTTCAGTTTTAGGAATCTTTTGATTTCCATTATAATTCCATTATTGACTCAGTAATCATTCACCTGCAGGTTGTTTAATTTCCATGACTTTTTGTAGATTTGAGTGATTCTCTTGGAATTAATTTCTTGTTTTGTTACACTGTGGTCGGAGAAGATACATGGTATGATTTCTGTTTTTTTGAATTTGTTCAGACATGTTTGATGGCCTAAGATATGATCAATCTTGAGAAAGTTCCATGTGCTGATGAGAAGAATGTATGTTCAGTTGTTTTGGGGTAGAATGTTTTATAAATGTCTATTATGCCCATTTGTTCTAGAATCCCATTTACGTTTCAGTGTTTCTTTATTTTCTGCTTGGATGATCTGTCCAGCTCTGTCAGTCGGGTGTTGAAGTCCCCAGCAGTTATGATGCTGCTGTTTATTTTTTTGCTTAGATCTAGTATAAATTTCCTTTATGAATCTGGGTGTTCCTGTGTTAAGTGCATAAATATTTAGGATTGTCTTATTTTCTTGGTTAATTTTTCTTTTTACCATTATATAATGACCATCTTTGTCTTTCTTAACCTTTGCTGATTTAAAGTCAGTGTTATCTGATATGAGAATGGTTACACTTGCTTTCTTCTGGTTTCCTTTTGCATGACATATTTTTTTTCATCCCTTCATTAGAGTTGGTCTGAGTCCTTATGGGTTAGATGTGTTTCCTAGAGATAGCAGATATTTGGGTTGTATTTTTTCATCCATTTAGCCAGCCTATCTCTCTTTTGTGGGGCATTCAGACTGTTCATGTTTATTGATAGAATTGATATGTGTTCATCATATCAATTGTTCTATTCATCATGTTGAGTAGTACCTATTGCCTTGTTTACTCTCTTGTGCTATTGTTTTTATGAGCTTTGAGCTTTAGCTTTTGGGTGGTTTTACACTGCCAGGTGTCTATTGTGCTGATCCATGTGTAATGTAGTTCTCAGTACTTCTGGCAGGGCATGTCTGTTCTTGACAGATTCCTCCAGTGTTTGCTTCTCTGGAAAAGTCTTTATTTCTTCTTCATATATGAAATTTAATTTTGCAAGAGACTAAATTCTAAGCTGGAAGTTGTTCTGTTTAAAAAGACTGAAGATGGGGCTCCAATCCCTTCTGGGTTGTAAAGTCTTTGGTGAGAAGTCTGTAATTAGTCTGATAGATTTTCCTTTGTAAGTTATTTGATGTTTTCACCTCACAGCTTGCAGGAGTTCCTCCTCATGTTGACTTTGGCCAGTCTGATGACTATATGTCTTGGTGATTGCCTCTTTGCAGTGAATCTGTCAAGTGTTTGTTGAGCTTCTTGTACCTGGATGTGTAAATCTCTAGCAAGACCAGGGAAATTTTCCTCAATTACTCCCTCGTATAGGTTTTCCAGCCCTTGTGTATGTTCTTCTTCACCCCCATGGATGCCTATGATTCTTATATTTGGCCATTTTACATAATGCCATATTTCTTGTGTGCTTTGTTCATTCCTCTTGATTCTTTGTTTTTTATTTTTGACTGGGTTATTTCAAAAGAGTTGTCTTCAAGCTCTGAAATTGTTTATTCTGCTGGTCTAGTCTACTCTTGAAGCAATGCTAAAAGGATGTAACAAGCGTTTATTAAATGGAGAATCTATTTTATAAAGTATTTCTACTTTAGAGTTCCAGCTTCTTCAGAGTCAGTTATTTTATTTAAGGCTTATCTTATTTCAGTCGTATAAGTGTGAAGCTAGGTTTATAATCTCAAAACAATTTTTAGGACTTTAGTTTTCATAATAATTTGAATAGAACATGGTAAGGAATAACTTCTGATTCCATGAGAAACATGGTGAGAATTCAGTTCCAAATTGATTCCACATTTTCCTGGAAAATATTGAGAGCCACAAAAAGAATAAGGAAAGACAAAAAACTCCAAAAACCCTGTAAACTAAAAATTAAGAAGTAGAGAAACCAGTAGACTGAAAACAGAAGACTGAATTACAAAGAGGACAAATTAAGCTATATATATAATATATTGATATATTAATATATATATACATACACATACATATTTCTCCCATATTATTTGTCTTAATAAAAAACAAAGAGGCTCGAACTGAGAAAAGCAAAAGGAAATGAATTTAGAAATAAAGGGAGAATAACAAGGATTAGAGAGAAAATCATAGTTATAGAAGAAAAGGAGAGTCAACACATTCATAATTGGAGACCCCAGAGAAGGAACTGTGGTGCTATAATTATCATTTGGTGGCAGTGGTGATGTAGTTTTCATAGCTTGCATATGAGCAAACTCCGGGGTTATTTTTGGTGGCAACTCTAAAGCCTCAACAAATCATTTAACAAAACATTTAAGGACGATTTAAAGAGAGAATTAGTTTTGGTTTTTGCAAACCTTCTGTTGATACATTTTGGTAAAATCCATATGAGATCAAGAAAGTGCTAGACCAAAACTTGCAGAAAACTTGTCAATAGTTTGGAAGAAAATTATGTTGACAATAGTGGAGTACTATTTGTTTTTAAACATTTTCATTTTGAAGTAATTTAGACAGAAAGTTGTAAAAGAAAGTATTTGCTGTAAACCCTTTACTGAAATTCCTCTGGTATTACCAGTTTACAAACCAGGCAATTGACATGGATACCATGCTATTAACTAATCTATAGACTTTCTCCTAATTTTACCTGTTTTCTTACTAATATCCTTTTCTGGTCCAGGAAATAATCCAAGTTCCCATTTGAATTTAGCTGTCACATCTACTATTCTCTTCCAATCCTGAGAGTACTTGTCTTCCTTTGTCTTTTTTGACCTTAACACTTTTGTAGTATCAGTAACTTTATAGAATTTCTTTCAATTTGAATTTGTCTGATGGTTTCTCATAATTAGATTGAAGTTAAACATTTTTAAACAAGAATATCATAGCAGTGGTGCTGTGTACTTCTTAGTATATCACATCATGTTATCAATGTCTTTTCGGTGATGTTACCTTTACTCATTTGGTAAAGGTGGTCTCTGACATATTTCTCCACTGTAAAGGTACTATTTTTCCCTTTATGATTAAAAAGTATCTCATAGAGAGATACTGCAAGACTATGCAAATATCCTGATCTCATCCAGTTTTTGCCCACAAATTTTAGCATCATTCATTGACTGTGCCTTCCCAGTGATGACTGTGTTGTTTGCTTAGTAATGATTTTCTCTTTCCATTGTTCCTTCTATTTTAATTAATTGGAATTCTGTAAGGAATAGCTATCTCTTCTCTCCCATTTATTTATATCACACTACTCCATGTTTTGTGCATTGTTGAGCTGTATGGCAGGCAAAGTAATGCAATTGCTTTGTAAATAAACTACCCAAGCTTTGTTGCCCAAAATTTACAGCAATAAATTAAAAGTCATTTACATAAGAAACTCTGTTGACAAGTGAAAGTCCAGAAAATGTCACTCTCAATTTTGGTTTCTTTATTTTCTCTTTTTAGCTCAGAACAAAGTATGGCAGATTTTTCCACAAGCAATAATTCAGTAGTCTGACTTCCATTAATTACTTTCAGTAATTACTTTTACTATTGAAAATATCTACTTTTAGTATTCATGTAAGTATCAAACATTTAAATAAGAAAAATATGTATTCTCATTTCCTAGGTGCTGGAGCGATTCTTATTCCTCGTTTAGACATCGTGATCTCCTTTGTTGGAGCTGTGAGCAGCAGCACATTGGCCCTGATTCTGCCACCTTTGGTTGAAATTCTTACATTTTCTAAGGAACATTACAATATATGGATGATCCTGAAAAATATTTCTATAGCATTCACTGGATTTGTTGGTTTCTTATTAGGTACATATATAACTGTTGAAGAAATTATTTACCCTACTGTCAAAGTTGCAGCTGGCACTCCACAAAGTCCCTCTCTAAATTTGAATTCAACATGCTTAACATCTGGTTTGAAATAGTAGAAGTAACATTATGAGCCTTCTACTTTTGTCTTAATTCTAAAAATGATTAAAATAACTAGTAAAATGCATCGTCATATGCTTAAAAATAGTACCAAACCCTGTTTTCTTTTGGCACGATATTAATATTTTGGCAGTAATTGTAATTCTTTACCAGTAGTGATAAACTGTGACAGATCCTTGGTTTTAAGTGTTAACAATAATTTCAGAAAATTAAGTTTTAGAAATTGAAAAAAATCAAAACTAAAATGTAAAAAATTAAAGAATAAAAATGCTTCCATTATCATTTATTGTAATAAGAAATATTTTAACCAGGATTTCTCTGTTAACCCCATGCTACTCTTTTGCCACTCAGTTGAGAAGAGAATAGGATTTAAAGAATAAGAGAATTAAATAAGGACATATATAACTGAAATCTCTCTCTAGAGAAGTTTGTGCATGCCAAAGTAGACTTTATGTATGTATAATGTAAAAGATATTGCAATTATGTCTTTATTAGCCAAGTCCTAATGATTAGCTTCTGAAAGTATAGAAAACTCCCATTAACTATAATGTAAGCTTCAGAAAATTCCAAAACCAGAATTATTTTTACACTATATCTATAATGGTAGTTTATCTTCATAATAATAATCAAGTGGCACTGTGTAAAATTCTGACTTAGTATTTTAGTAAAATTTAAAAGGGCTTGAACAGTTATCCAATACAACTCCCTTATTTTTCACTGGAGGAAATGGAGGCCTAGAAAGAAAGGTTAAGTAATTTGGTTAAGACCACTCAGCCTAGAGATTAAGAGAAACTGATCTTCTGACTCCCAGGCCAGGACTTTTTATTTTTTACATCACATCTAAGAAAAAGAATAAATTATGTTCAGCTTAATATTAATGTTTTGTCTGTTTAATTATATTTTAATACTTTGAAACTAGGTGTATGATCTTTGAATATTGTATGTGACCTGAGCAGAAATCCAGGGAAGCTTACACTATGGCCATATAAACCGTATAAACCTCAGCAAAGGAAAGAAGCAATATTCTTTTTAAATGACTAGAGACCACTTGCTGACATAAATGTGGGCTGGTAGAATGTGCCCAGCTCTGGTATTTGTGGTTTGAGTTCTTTTTATTGTTTCTTACCTTTCTTGGGTTTTGTAGACACCATCTTTCTTAATGGCATAAAATAAATGTCTTACAAAATATAGGATTTATGGATTCTTTCCAGGTTTGTGGCTTTCCTCATCACAGCCGTTTATTGATCTGAATGGGCAGAATAAAGAACTGTAAAAGGATTCATGCTTAGTAAAAATTGAGACAATAATAAACTGTCTACTAAATACCGAGACACTCTAGGCTACTTCCAGAGAAATACCTTCTATTATTCCATATTCTTCAAACCCAGTTATTAACCAAAATAAAGAATCCCAGTTTATGAGGAGGATGAAAATTATCAAGTTAAGACATTAAGAATAGAATTGTCGGCCGGGCGCGGTGGCTCACGCCTGTAATCCTAGCACTCTGGGAGGCCGAGGTGGGCGGATTGCTCAAGGTCAGGAGTTCAAAACCAGCCTGAGCAAGAGCGAGACCCCATCTCTACTATAAATAGAAAGAAATTAATTGGCCAACTAATATATATAGAAAAAATTAGCCGGGCATGGTGGCGCATGCCTGTAGTCCCAGCTACTTGGGAGGCTGAGGCAGCAGGATTGCTTGAGCCCAGGAGTTTGAGGTTGCTGTGAGCGAGGCTCACGCCACGGCACTCACTCTAGCCTGGGCAACAAAGCGAGACTCTGTCTCAAAAAAAAAAAAAAAAAAAAAGAATAGAATTGTCTCCTGTTGTTTTTTTTTAAATACATACTTTAATGAACTTTTTAATCAGGCTATTGCTACTCTAACTGTAATGCTATACTTCAAGATATCATCAAGATCGTTGTAGTATATATATTCTCTATTTTTATATGTAAATGTTGACTTAGTTCAAGTATTTTTTGCTTACACCATTAACTGGTCATCAAGTACAATCCTAAAGATATATCAGAAACTTTATTTTGATACAAATTCATAAGAATCAAAACTTTTTTAAACATTTCATTAGGTATCACCAATAATGTTCTGATACTTTTTTATCCAATCTGTTACACTGAACCTTTAGTCATACTAAAAGAATGCAGAAGTTGTTATAGGAAAATTATTCTTCACTGAAACTAATGTTATATAATCTTGAATCTAAGAATAAATTAGGTATTTTGAAAAAATTTATAAAGTGACTTAAAATCATTATTTAATAGAAAGCAGTATTAGGATGTTGTCAGCTATCTTCAGATAATATTTCTAGTCTATATGTGTGATTTTATTTTTATACTTTTACCTTTTTTATTTTCTTATGGAATTCATCAAATGCAATGAGATTTGGAATAGTTGATCATAGAAATAAATCATTTTTAAATGCAGCCCAAACACATTTGAGCATATTATCAACCAGGCTTTCTTATGCAATAAGAATGCTGAATCAACATTCAGTACTAAATTCACTAAATTATCAATACTTTAAATATAAGAAAAAGTTGAAATGAAGAAGAGAGGCTAAAAAGGGAGAAAGTAGTTTTTAATTCTTAACAAGAAAAACTGTTTAGATGGAAAGTATAAATGCACTTTTATTTAAGGATATTTGATATATTTTATCTGTAAAATAATCAGTGGGTAATATTTTTTTTCTCTGAACATTTAGTTTTAATGAGTCATAAAATTTTTAAAAGATTTTTAGAGAAGATATTTTGATTATACACCAGCTGTTGCTTTTATTTTGGGTGACTGGAGAAATGAGAGTGATTGCACCTGTCAAGTTTTGTATCTGATCTCTTTTGGATTATCACGTTGTGGCTAAAATGATTTCAGCTTATTATTTGCCACTGTAGTGAAGAAGTCTTCTCTGAAAGTTAATCAGTTGTCTGAAAGCCTTTTCTGCTACTGAGGGAGGGGTGGGGAGAAAGGAAAGGTTTATTTACCTCTGATGAGTTATGTTCTAAATCCTTTATCACTGTTCCCCTACACCCAAGAGTTTCAGCAGTATCAGAGTCAACTTGTCTAAACACTGCTTCTCAGACTTTTTTTTTTTTATCAGAGGATCTTCTTTTTTCCACAGGGCTAGATTTCTTCACAATTAAAGAAATAAGAATTAGGGCTTTTTCTTGGTTAAAGACCAGTTTCGATGGTATTCCCAAATGAAAACTAGTAATGTATTATCAAAGGCCACATGTCTTAATTTTATCCTCTCTGGATTCTCCTTTATTAAAACCATTTCTGCCTCTCACCTAGATGATGCACTACGTATTTATAAGCATTTTACGACAATGTGCCCGTGAATTTCCTAATAGTATCTAATTTTACTCAGTAGTTTCATAGTAATTACATAAAACTCTTTAACTGCAGAGTACTATAAAATTTTATTTGAAATATTAATTAAAATTCTTTATTAGTATCATTTCTAGCTGTGGCAAAGCACAGGTCTTACTGTAGTTTACTTGGGATATTTCTTCACCACAGACCTCAATATATCATCTGAGTAGTACATGTTTGCTGACAGAATATACCCAAATTAGGTCTTGACTTCACTTCTCCTTTCTCCTTTTAAAAGGGAGAATATACATCGTAGAGTTAATGGAAATAAATAAAATTATTTAAATAATCCCAATGGCTCAATTAATACTGTCTGTTGAGGAATAAAATAATCTGGTAAAAATATAAACCATTGATAATGTAAAATGATAAGTCTAATTTGGTCTTTTTTTGGCTGTCTAGCTTCCCCTTATAAAAAAATTTGAGAAACTTTGATCTAAAAGATAAAGCAGGATGCTTCCTAATATTATATTGCTGGCTATACTGGTTAATACTTTGGCAGTTTTATAGTTAATCTTGTTTATGCCATTAGTACTTACTAGGCTAAACACCTTTCTGAAACAAGTTGGTTTTGACCTACAAGATAAGAAAACATGCTTTAAAAATGGCTAGAAATGCTATTTATTGCCCTACGATAAGTGAAATGGCAAATTACTCTGATTCTTAAAGTTTCATATTAAAATTAGCTAGTTCCTACATACACATGTGCATGCAGACACACACATCAGTAATCTGTGTGAATAGCAATTTAAATTTGCTATTTAAATTGGGTCCAGAAAGATGTTGTAGTAACAAGGTTATTCTAGAAATTATTCCATTAGAGTTTTCTTGATAACAAATAGGAAAATACATGTTTATACCTTGAATAAATTATGATGTAGATTTTTATGTTTTTTGAAATGATTTTGTTAGTTTGAATGAAAACTAAATATTGCACTTGAGTCAATTCTTTTAACTTATTTTTCTTTATAACAATATGAAAAAAAATCTGTCTTAAAGTATTGTAACTTTTCTGAATTTTCAATAAAATATTATTTTGCTTGCAATTGACTTTTTATATAATTTGTCTTTTATAAGGTTAAATGACATTGACAAATGTCATAAGCCAAAAATGGCACAGAATAATATTCTAATAACATTTTAATCAGTTTTAATGGTTAATTCTCTGTCGTTTTGGAAATTGATATTATATACCTCTAAGATTTAAGAGGAGTTGATTTAAAATGAAAGGACACACTCAAAACCGTGACCTGAACTTCCTACACAGTGAATGCAAGATGAGCAGTCTGCAAATGCTGCATCCATGCTTTGATTTACCACCTTCTTAAGGTCAAGAATATGTATCAATCATTTTGTTTGCATTACAAAATTAGAATAATACTTTGGGGAAGGGTTATGCCAACCCCATATGAAAGACCATAAAGATATTTATACCTTTACATTAGTAATCCTGCTCTAGTGAACTTAAGGACATATCATAGTTCATATCATAAAATAAACTCAGCCTAAAGGTGCATCTACAACATTTTTTTTACAACATTATTTTAATGGTGATAAAGTGGAAACACCCTAAATGTTCAATAATAAGCCCATAAATTATGATATCATAACCTAGAATACAATGAAGATTATATTAATTATACTAAAGCTACACTGAGGACTAATAATTTGGGAAAGAAAAGTTACATGAAATTAATTTTAATTACAGCTCTGATATACTTCTGGGCCCAAACAAGGAGATATTCAGAAAATGGAATCACATAGTGTCAGGATAAAGAAATGGGTTTTACTATTTTTAAATGACTAGTGAAAGCAGGCCTGTTAGAGGAAGAAATGGAAATGTTTTGGGGAAGGCAACAGGGAATTTACAAAGCCTTAGTAGTAGTGCATGCTTTTGACAAGCAGCAGAGGAACACAAAGACCAAAAAAAAAAAAAAAAAAGAAAAAAAATGAGATGGGGATAGGACTAGGTACACAAAGATGTGAATGTATTGAAAAGCCCTATGGAATACTTACTTGCAGGGGGGAAATCAAATATGGCTACTTTGTAAAATTAATTTTTTTTAATGTAAAAAGTTTGAGCAGTTCTTAATGGATACACGCACACAAACACACAATTTCACAGTATAGACTGTTGGAATTCAAGAGTAGAACAAGAAAGTAGGCCAAAAAAAAAGGCAGTGCAGAAGTGAGAACTTCAGATCATGGGTCTGTAGTGTCTTATTTATCATTGTAGCTCTAGCACCCAACAGTACTCCACAGGGCACAGAATAGGAGCTTGAAAATCTGATCTTTCCAGTCTTGAACTCCCTATCCTATCCTATTCCAATTTTGGCTGCACAAAGAACAGGCTCCTGAGACCATGCAGGCTTCACTCCTTGCCTCACCCTGCAAGTTACAGCAACACCAGACTGCTCACAGCACCACAAACACACTTCACACATTATTTTTCATCTACATGACCCTACCACCACCTCATGCTAGAATGAT